TGGGAGTGTCAGAGACAGTGCAATTGGCACAGGACAGAGAGGAGTTTAGGGCTGTTGTACATAGGGTCGCTATGAGTCGCAAGCGACTCGACGGCAAATAACAACAACAACAACAAGGGTTAACATTTAGCTGATAATGCGATACTGAACAAGTTAGTCTCAGATTCTCATTTTTGATCTGTAAAATAAACTATACTGACTTTAAGAAGTCTTGAGGGGTGCAGTGGTAAAAGCTTGACTGCTAATAAAAATGTTGGTAGTTTAAATCCACCAGCCTCTTTGTGAATGAAAGATGAGGTAGTTCTGTTTCCGTGAAGGTTTACAGCCTTGGGAAACAGTGGATCAGGATCTCTCTTACTGGGTCACTATGAATCATAACTGATGCTTTCGCAAAGGGCTTAGTTTTTTATATACGTACTATATAGAATTTTAAAAGATAATGGATGTGAGGTGCCTCACACAAAAGGGTGCCTGGCAGAGACTACTGCCTTCTGGGGGCTACACTGATTTTCACTTGCCATCATAGTCAGATGTTTAATTACCTCTCTAGGAGACTGTGGCTGAATGTAAATCTCATAAAGTTTTTTTGCCATAGAAATTCTGCTCCGTCGTGAGTCAATCTTCTTGTAGGTTTCACATGCCGTCCAGAATTTAATATTTTCTTCACTGTGCTCTGATTTTAAGTATACTGCATAGACTCCTGGACCATCTAGAAGCAATCGAAAAAGCAGTTAATTTTCATGGGCCAAGAGGATTAAAAATAGGGACAATATTTAATGCAGTTTAAATTGAAAGTATGCTTTGCTTTTTCACTGACCCTATACTTTGCCAAGTATGATCTCCTTCTCCAAGGCCTGGTTTTTCCTGATAACATGCATGAAGTATATGAAGTGCAGTCTAATCATCCTTGCATCTAAGGAGCATTATGATTGCATTTCTTCCAAGACAGATTTGGCTTTTGTTTCAGTCAGGTCAGTATCTTCACCCATACAAATGGTTCTAGGATAAGTAGACAAAGCTCTGGGCATGAAACTGACATGAAATACTTAATAAACCACGCTGAATTATGGGTTAAAAAAAGCTTAAAAACAAAACATACAGGTCATCATCGGAAGGAAGATACCTAGGTCAGTTAGAAGTGATAAAATGAGTAAGTTTACAGCCTGGAGTGCTTTTCAATGGGAAAACATGGATAGATTAAAATTCAATATCACATTTATGGTTTAGGGTTCCAACTGAAAAATAAAGGACCAGACAAGAAATAGAGCTCAGAGGGTTAAAAAATTATCTGAGAAACTAGGACAAAGTAGTGACTATTCTTAGCATAAATATCAAGTGATTGTTGACAGTAGAGATAGTTATCCTCTGCTCAGATCTTTAGTTGCCTTTCTGCAGGGGGCAGATACATAGAAACATGCTGGAGCTTTTTTTATCATGGTTCTATTTTGTAGACCCTAGTGTTTGCAGGTGAAAAACTCAAACCTATACCTATTCAATCTATATGCTGAGCAAATAATTCCAGAAACTAGACTATATGAAGCAGAACGTGGCTTCAAGAGTAGAGAAGCACATCAAGAACCGTTGTTATGCGGATGACACAATGTTGCTTGCAGAAAGTGAAGAAGACTTCTTGAAGCACTTACTGAAAAAGATCCAAGACCACAACCTCCAATAAGGATTATATCCCAACTCCTTCCCACTGGATTAAAAGATGACATCATGATAGATGGAGAAATGGTTGCAATTGTTACAAACTTCATTTTTCTTGGATCTACAACCAATATCCATGGCAGCAGTTAAGAAATCAAAAGGCATGTTACATTGGGAAAATAAACTGTCAAGGGCATCTCCTAAGAGTTACAGAGAAAAGACACCAGCTTAAAAACTAAGATGGGCCTGATCCAAGTCATGCTATTTTCAGTTACATCCTATGCATCTGAAAGTTGCAAAATGAATAAGGATGAGAGAAGAAGAATCTATTCCTTTCAAGTGAAGTATTAGAGAGAAGTATTGAATGGCGCAAAAGGATAAACAATTATGTCTTGGAGGAAATGCAATCAGGGTGTCTTCTACAGACAAGTAAGTGAAATTTCATCTCACATATTTTGGACATGCTGTCAGGAGAGATTAGTTCTTAGAAAAAGACTCGCTACTGGGAAAGGTGGAAAGTTAGAAAAAAATTGGAAGACCCTCAGCAAGAAGAATTGATACGATGTTTTTATGTTTGATTGAGTCACCTGTGACTCATATTGCCCCCATATATACAACAGCTCTGAACCCTGCTCAATCTTATTGTCCCTTCCATACTTACCCCCTTAAGCCTCATCACTGACTCAATATAGTGACTTTAATAATGGCCTTGTGCAGGTTGGAGATTGTGAGGATGGTGCGGGAAAGGACACCGTGACTTGATCACACCTAACTCCAATAATGTGGATGCAGAGGAATTTGGGCTATATACCCAAATGCATAGATGTCTCTGTGGCAGTTTTAATTCAGCGGCTCCATGGGATAAGGACAAGTGATCTGCTCCCAAGTGATTCACAGACTTGAAAAGCCAATAGAAGGTCAGCTGTCAGTCAGTTTCAACTTGACAACAATGAATGTTTATGTATAAAGAGATCTAGTTTCATAGTGCTTTACACGTTGTCATGTTAATTTGAAGGTTGACAGTTTAAACCTACTGGCTGCTACGTGGGAAAAGATGGACAGTCTCCTCACATAAAAGTTTACATTCTCCAGAATCACCATTAACAGCAGTGGCTTTGGGTCCAATTTGCTATCAAATAGCAACAACTTTATTTTAGTATTTCTCAATAGAGTAACTGGAATTTCAATAAACCTAACACATTTTGGGGAGAACTACTATTTTCAGGGTTCAAATAATCACTTCAAGAAAAATTTTGAACTCTCTTTGGTCAAAGGGAAATCTCTTGACTTCCTTTGAGCTGTGAAATTGGCTAATATATAAACCAGCTACAGAACTTTCAATTGATGTTAATATAAACATGTAATACTCTAAGTGGGCACATAGAGACTGACAGCAAAATGTTCTGGTTAACAATATTTTGGTCAACATAGCCCATAGGGAGTTGCACTGCTAAGCCAAAAAGATACACCTCTCTGGCAGTTCAAATCCACTAGGGACTCAGAGGGAGAATAATGGACAATTTTGTCATATGCAGTTTATGGCTTCAGAAAAGCCATTAGAGGATAAACTATTAGTTGGTTCTGGCTCAATGGCAATGAGTTGCAAGTTGAAGAAATAATGATAATCATATAGACTAGTAATAGCAAAGATATTACATTCCCCTGGATCTTCACAGAAGAAATAAGAAAATGCTTCTGAGCTCAAAAAAAGTTAAGTTTCTTGACTTCCTGGCTTCTGATGGCTCTCTTATCAGTGAAGCAGGAAGAATGAGTTCAAGAGAAAAAATGAAAATTAAGGCAGCATCTTCCCAAGGAATTATTAGTCTTGAGGCAAGCTAGAATTCTTCAAGATATATGCCATCTTCATAATACATAAAATGAAAGCATGACCTACAATTTTCAAGTGAGCAAATGTAACCTTCATGGCACTGAGTGGGAGATGGTTCAACAGAAACAGTTGTTAGGACTAGACAGGAAGTAAAGGATGTAGAGAAATGTAAAATAAGAAATGCTATGGATTAGAAACATTCTTACCCACTTGGAGAACTTAAATTTTAGCAAAAACATTTCTCTTTAAAAATATTTTATATTGGCTTTCGTAAAACTACAATATATATTGTATTCCATTGATATACATTGCGTTTCACACATTTCTTCATTGACATTCTGTTTCATATGATCATTCCCATGCTCACAACTCACAGTGACCCTATGTACAACTCTGCCCTATCAGCCACTCTCTGACACACCTGATTCAATTGCCTCAAGTTAGCATGTCAATCCATCTCATTTGGGGTCTTCCTCTCCCTCACTGTCCTTCCACCCTTT